TAACAAGAAAGATAAGATGAACCTTTATGAATCCCCGAGGGGAAATTCAGTTGTACAAAGCAGCATGAGGGTAAGCGTGAAACAACGGGACAGCAAAGATTCACACAGATTAATAAAATCAAAAATAAATTAAATCAAGATTTTTTTTAAATGATAATATTAATAAAAGACTATGAAATAGGAGATGAGTAAAATAAAATAACTGTCAGCATATATACATATTTGGTCATCTAAGTTATAAAGTACGGAATAAGTTAAAGTGAAAAGTGAAAATGGACATCTGTACACATAGTGACATATCTATCTACCTTTTTGGTCTACTGCTAATAATATGTTAGCATGGGTTGTGGAAACAGTGTATATTTATGTCCAGTGATTTCATTTAATTTATTTTTCATCATTAACCCCTTGTTGTGCAGCCTGATGGCTACAGGCACAAAGGACTGTCCGAGGCGCTTGGTGCGTTGTCGTGGAGGGATGAGTCTGTGGCTGAACGTGCTCCTCATCTTCACTAGCTCTGTGTGGAGTGGGTGGAAACGAGAGACCGACACACTGGAACAAATGCTGCTCCAAAAACAAGTTAAACGAATAATGAAAACAAGCTGTTTTCACTTGAAATAAGTACAAAAATCTGCCAAGTGGACATTTGGTTGGTTAGATTCCTTGAAATAAGAAGATAGATAAATCACATCTTGTAATTATCAGGAGAACTCATTTTGAACTACATTTCACCAGAATCAGGACATGTTGTTATAAGCCGCAAATGCTCAAAAGCTTTCTGTGTTCTGATGCTAGTTGGTGATTTTCTGATAAATATGTAAAGAAAGATGTTTCATCTGAGATACGACTCAAAATAAGATGTTTTGACTGAACAAAATGATGCATTGTCTAAAAACAAGACCTGTATCTCACTGCAGTGTCACTTTGAAGTGATTATGTCTGATATCAGGAGTAGAGACATGACTTAATATCAGACACAGATACTGGGCAAGATTTCCAGTTGTTGTCGTGCAGAGAGGCAGAAATGTTTCAAGTGACGGATGAAAAGAGGAGAGAAATGTTGATGTGATGGAGGTAGGCGAGTGGATGAAGATAGAACAGCGAGGAGGAGTCTGAACAATCAGACATGCTGCATGTGACAGGAGCTTTTATTTGGTGCACTTATGAAACTCCTCAAACCATGAGAAACACGAACCAAGACTTTAAAAGAATATCCAGTTCAAACCATTTGGTCACCAGATGGAGATAAATGGAGGATGTTAAAGGGTTGCATTCTAAACTGTAAACTGGGGAGAAGGCAGGATGAAGAGAGGAGGGTGCAGGGTGTGTTTCTGATCAACAACGTGACAGAGAATAAGAGGAGGAGGATGGGTGGAGAAGGGGAAAAGATAAACAAACCGCGAGTCTGTAGACGAAACGTTGTACAAACAACTCAGATATTTCCCCAGATCTTCAGTTTAAAGGCGAGTAGTTGCAAACACATCACATGTTAGACGCTTTTATCCAAAGCGACTTCCATACTCAATACTGTGGGCAATCCCCACAGGAGCACTTTGGGGGGAAGTGTCTCAGGGACACAACGACATGCTGACTGCAGTGGGGTTTGAACCTGTGACCCCCTGATCTGAACACCAACGCTCAACCCACTGCGCCACACGCCTCATGCTGTCACTGTTAATAATGCACAGCGCTGTTTTGAACACAGCTCGCATTCGACTTGCATATGCTTTACTTATTCCTGCTAATTACTGCTTTTTCTTGCACCATCTTATGCATTCACTTTTCTGTATGGTGTATGTTGCATTGTTGGAGGGGCCAGAAGCTTAAGGTGTTCAATGCAAGCAACTACACTGAATGTTGCATTACGAGTCGACCATGGCAAATGATCATATTTGAGCTCTTTACCAGCACTGAACAAAAAGATAGTTCATGCAAACTGGGTCCGTAAACAATATTTGATGTTCTGTAGCCAACTTGCTTTCTAATTGCCTCATTTTGTTTAGAGTTGCCTTTATTTTAAGCTACAGCCCACTCCATTAGCTACCATACTTGCCAACCCTCCCGATTTCGCGGGAGACTCCCGATTTCATTGCCCTCTCCCGGTTTCCTCCCGGGGTCATATTTCTCCCGATTTCTGACCAAATCAGATTTACTCACGACTGTTTCCACTCTGACTTTAATACAGCTACACCATTGTTTGGTTTCCATGGTAGCACGTCTCTTTAGTAGTGCGCGCAACTGAAAGTCTGAGAGGGTGAGGAAGATAGTCCCCCCCCCCCCCCCGCGGTGGCATGACACAATGCTAACCTGTTGTGTTTGAGTGTTGGATTGAATCCTCATTTTGATACAAGGTTACAATAAGTTCCCCCAATTGTTCCTCTGTCCTTATTGTTAAGATATTAAAATACAATTCAGCATTCAAGAGGACATTTTCTTCACATTTTAAGGTTGATATTAGTATTTATGTTCAGAAAGCTCTTTATTGTTCTCATACTGCCTGTGCTGCAGCACCTCTTTTCACCCTCTGTCTGAAACCAGAGCCCAGTCTGCTCTGATTGGTTAGCTGGCCGGCGAGAGCAACTCCCTCTGGAGGGAACACAGGGATTTTAGTCTTTGCAGACCATTTACATGCACTAACACGTATATAACACTACAGGGAAGGGAAAACGCCCCAAAAGCCTCTTTAAGGTCATGGACTGACTTTCTAACCTTCGCCTGTCACTCTTGGCTGTTCTTTGAGTTAAATGCGTGACGTGCACATAAACAACAACAACACTTTAAACAGAGATGCCGCTTTGTCGTCTGCAGCCGAAACAGGCGAGAAGCAGAGAGTTGGTCTGCTCCAGAAAGAAGGAGAAGCTAGTGCTCATATGGTGGCTGGTGCAAGGTGTGAGAGAAAAAGGAAATGCGTTCCAAACCCTTCTGTGATGGAGCAGCAGGGGTCTGTCACAGAGCCCAGTGTCACAGAGCCCAGTGACACAGAGCCCAGTGACACAGAGCCCAGTGACACAGAGCCCAGTGTCACAGAGCCCAGTGACACAGAGCACAGCCTCATGAAGTGCATTCAGGCAGCGAGGAACACAAAGACAAACACGTGACGACAACAAGACAGAGGCTGTTCTGCTTCTCGCTGTGCTGGCAGTTTAAAGATCAGGGATAATGACATTACAGAGAGCATGTGGAGTCAGCAGAGCAAAGGTTCTGTGCTCTGAAACTGCTGATCGCTGATGGTTATTGTGCAGTTCTTCAAGTTTCAAGGCTTTTATTGTCATGTGCAGAGCTTCAGTGTAGTTATGGCAATCTTAGGCTCCTCCATCAGAGCAACACAATAACACAGATACAATAGGACAGGAAAATAATGTATAATATAATAGCAATAGTGCAGAATAGTCCATACAGTAATTGGAATATGATGAGTTGCAAACAGATGAATGTTGTGGATTCATTCATCTGTTTTCCCTTTTTAGTTTTGCTGGTGTTCTTCCCGTCGTGTCGTTTCGATAGAGAGATATTCAGGCAGGTATCTCATCAAAGTTACATTTTGTATTGTGACAAAAACGCCCTCAGGCGTCGACATCCAGACGTTTATTGCTTCGTATGAAAAAAGGATATATTGCATTTTCAAATAATAAAAGTCGCTCCAGGTCAAATACATTATAAATGACAGAGAACGAAACTTCAATTCACAGAAATCGTGCAGGGAACATATCTGGTGAATATGATAAAAGCAGTGGTGTAAAGTAACTAAGTACATTTACTTAAATACAATTTTGAGGTACTTAACTTGAGTATTTCCATGTTATGCTACTGTGTACTTCTAATCCACTACAGTTCAGAGGTACATGGTGTACTTTTCCTCCACTACATGTATTTAATCCCTTTAGTTACTTCACAGATGTGGATGAATGATGTGAAATCTAATCAAGTGTTGAATCAGACTTTAGTTCCACCTGGAGTAAATCCACCAGCTACCCTGCAGTATACAAAGTACTTCAAACTAGCTGCACCTTCACCAGCTTTGAGAACACTTTCATGATCAATCATTATAAAACATATCATATATATTATTCTGAAATGGACCAATCTGCACAACGACTACTTTCACTGTCGCTACTTTCACTATATTTTGATGAGAATACTTTTCTACTTTCACTTGAGGAACATTTTGAATGCAGGACTTTTACTGTAACAGAGTATTCCTACACTCTGGTACTTCTACTTTTACTCAAGTACAAGATCTGAGTACTTCTACTTTTACTCAAGAACAAGATCTGAGTACTTCTACTTTTACTCAAGTACAAGATCTGAGTACTTCTACTTTTACTCAAGAACAAGATCTGAGTACTTCTACTTTTACTCAAGAACAAGATCTGAGTACTTCTACTTTTACTCAAGTACAAGATCTGAGTACTTCTACTTTTACTCAAGTACAAGATCTGAGTACTTCTACTTTTACTCAAGTACAAGATCTGAGTACTTCTACTTTTACTCAAGTACAAGTTCTGAGTACTTCTACTTTTACTCAAGTACAATACCTAAGTACTTCTACTTTTACTCAAGTACAAGATCTGAGTACTTCTACTTTTACTCAAGTACAAGATCTGAGTACTTCTACTTTTACTCAAGAACAAGATCTGAGTACTTCTACTTTTACTTCAAGATCTGGGTACTTCTACTTTTACTCAAGTACAAGATCTGAGTACTTCTACTTTTACTTCAAGATCTGAGTACTTCTACTTTTACTCAAGTACAAGATCTGAGTACTTCTCCCTCCTCTGGATTAAACTCCTAGAATGATAATAATAAATGGGATTTTCCTAATGCTCAAAGACGCTTAAATGATGAGTCACTGAACCCATTAAAGAACCGATGACTTGTCAGTTTTTAATAATAATACATGACACTTATATAGCGCTTTTATAAAAACTCATAGACGCTTTGACAGAAAGGCACGAACCGATGACTCATCAGTTTGTTGACGCCCCCCTCCCTCTCTTCAGGCCCAGCTGGAGGCCCAGAGCTCCACTCAGGACTTCCAGAGAGCGTCGGAGGTTCTTCGGGCGGCGAAGGAGACGATCTCTCTGGCGGAGCAGCGCCTCCTGGAGGAGGACCACCGGCAGTTTGACTCCGCCTGGCAGGAGATGCTGAACCACGCCACGCAGCGGGTGAGGAAACCAGAGGGGGTTCAGTTAGCTGATTCATATATTTCTCTATATTTAGATATTTTTTGCTTTAAAGTTCTCCTATCATGCTATTTTTAGGCATATATTATGGGTCTCAGATATATAAAAATATATAAAAAAATGTGTTTTGCTCAAAATACCAAACAGATCTAACATTTTAGACATCCCTCATGTCCCTCTGTTTCAGCCCTGTTGACCATATTACGTCCAAAACACGTCTCATTGTTTCTGACAGCAATGTTTCTGATTGGCCCGTGGGTCTAAAGCCCGCCCACATCTCCGATATGACATCATATCGGATGCAAATCTGTATCAGCTCCGTTGTTCCCCCGTTTTCAGAGATGTGGGTACGGAGGAAAAGAGAGAGGGTTTTATTTTTTCTGACACTTTGAGTTCCCTGACACACCAGCTTTAGTTAGCTGATGAATATTTGTGTGTATGTGTATATTTATGTCTTTATTTTTTGCATTCTGTTTTATTTTTCTTTAATTATTGCTTGCTCAGTTTTTTTACACGTGTCACCCTTTTCTTACACTGCGATGTGAAGTCAATGGGACACTTAAAAGACTACATATGTACAATATAAATTATGTAATGGGATTGATTGGCTGATGCTGAGTTCTGATTGGCCGTCACAGGTGATGGAGGCGGAGAATACCAAGACGAGGAGCGAGCTGGTGCACAAAGAGACGGCGGCCAAATATACGGCGGCCATCAACCGCATGAAGCAGCTGGAGAAAAAACTCAAACGCACCATCAGCAAGTCCAAGTAAGTGTCTGCTGTCCCACTGCCAGCGAACACATCACGGATTAATGATTGTTAATAATGAGGCAAAGAGAAAAGCACAGCTGAGAGCATTTTCACCTGTAACACCTGGTTGTTTTGGGAGATTAAGGGCCACTTTATAAAAGAGAAAAACACTTTTGGAAATCTAGAGAATGAAGGTTAGGACAAGTGAAGAATTTCTAACAATTACTTTGTATTTCTTTACTAAGAACTGTTCTCTTATTGGACAATTTGATGTATTGTTTTCAAGTTATCAAAGATCAGCTCAAAATGGTATGCCTTTTTTTTATCCTCAAATGATGGAGACGTTATGTGAGCATAACACTTTTTCTTACTTCCAAAAAAGCGTACGTTTATATAAGATTTGAGTCTAAAAATGCTGTTGAATCAGAGTTTTTTAACCAGCTAAAAGTCTTCCTTATGAAGTATTTGTTTCATAAAAATGCATCTTTCTCTCCTTATATTAAGCCTCCTCTTTAAAATATACATTACCTTTTTCAACATTAAAGCCTGTAAAATGGGCCCCTTTAAGTCCTACATTTTGTATATACAAATGATAACCTCAAAATCCTATTTAAAACTAAAGTTTAGCCCAAATAGTCAAGCATATTCCAGGGTTAAAAGAAGGCTATTTTGGGTCTTATTAGAAATAATCCACCTTATCCAAGTATTCATTTAAAATCACTAAATGGAGATATACTACATATTTATATTTTCAGCTTCCTCTGGATTTATTTTAGGACTTATTTTACTGTCACAGCGAGGTGTCGACAGCAACGCGACATATCTATTGTCCTGTTCACATTAAAACACAGACACTTGACGATTGTTGTCCAGAAACTGGTCTCCGCTCTGTATTGAAACCATGTTGTGAAGTGAAACTGTGTTTGTTGCTTTATGAGGTTTCTGGTTTTCTGAACGTCACATCCAGCTGTTCGGCCTGACGTGGTCGGATCAGTTTTCAGTTTTTCTCTTCTCTATTCCTCTGAAAGAAAGTGGTTTCTCCCTGAAGCAGAGAAACCACTTCTACCTGTGTGTGTATTTCATTTGAAACAGTCAGGTGTTGATGGGGAAGTCTAGGTTAATCTGGACTCTCACAATGTGATGTCCTCCTGCAGTTTCACTAGTTTGAGGAAACGATTTAGCCGCTGTGGCAAAACCCAGAATCAGTTGACTCCAGGTGACTTAGTCGAAACGTAGAACAAATAACTCCCATCTGCAATATTTCAGTATTTCTGAACAAGACTGAGCTAATTTCTTACACATGTTCAAAAAATTCAAAACTTTACGGTTCTCATCGACTGACAGACACGTATTTGAGATGTAAAACATGTTCAAGTTCTTCACTGATTCGTCACTGAAAAAAAACCTACATTTTGGAAATATTATCTGAAATTAAAATACATTTTAAGTTGGATTTTGTGTGTGCGGGAATCCATATTAGTTTAATGTTCTTCTGCAGAAAGACAGTGATCACAATTAAGTGTAAATGTTGGGGATAACATGCAAATAAGCATCTAGTGCAGTGGTTCTCAACTGGCCAGGCCTCGGACCCACTTTTTACTTGGTCAATACATCGCGACCCAACATTTTGAAGCACTCAAATCTATTCAACAAAAAATCGTGCTGTAATATATACGCTTTTCAGCATACAATATGAATAAAAGTGAAGTACAGTGCATATATCCCTTATATCCCTTCACAGAACTAAAGTATGCTTTTAAAAAAGGTTTAATGAGATGATGGAATCAAAGCTGAACTATATAAAAAGGCACGCATTCTGAAAACCCAACCCCAGCAGGGGGTCTGGGGGGATTCTCCCCCAGGAGATTTTTAGAAATAGTAACATAAACTACGCATTCTGGTACTCTGAGAAGAAAATAAATAAATCTATTACTACCCGACATATTAATAATATTTGATGCCATTGTTTGTTTTTCACTTTGTTCTGACATCTTGCTGCGAGAAGAGTAAAGAGGAGAGAGTCTGTGTGACTTACTTTAAATTGTGGGTAAGGGTAGATAGCCCCCATTGTTCTGTGACCTGTCAATCATCAAACCGGGGGTCATATTTCATTATGTGTTCATTTTTATCTGAAGTTGTACCCATGGATGTATAAAAAAGAGTTCTACCGCAAAGTTATTCTCCGTGGGGACTTCCGGCAACAATCTTGATTCTGATTGGCCAGAAGACTCGAAAAAACATCAGCAAAGATATTTTATTGAGAAGATCAGTGCTGGAATTGGGCCGGTACTCACCGGTACGCAGTACCGGCACTTCTGGTTCTGACCCATGGAGTACCGGCACTTCTTGCTCAGTACCGGCATGCTGGCGGTACTCCGGTACTCATGCACCGTGCCAGTACTCAACACTCTCCCGCCGTTCTTATTATACATCCATATATATATATATACAGCCGCCCGGTACTCAGTAGATGCGTCATGAGGTGCCGAACGGACATTCTCATCGCTCTAACCGCTGGAGTTTCACAGCGGCTGTCAGCTGTTTACTCCTGTCATTCAAACAGAACGTGCTGGAGAGGGGCGGGGCTTATCTTCTCCATGTAAATACTGTGGTGGAAACGACTATGTCAAAATTAACCTATTTGACCGTGATTTAATAGTAATACACGTTTCAAAATAATAATAATAATAATAATAATAATGCCGAAGTAACAACATACTGAAAACTGTTAGTAAAGCCATGTTTTAATGCTTTACAATTTACATACCTAGATGCACGTGTGTTGTGTTTATGCAGTGCAACTCCCACCCAGTGGGTGGCTATGTAGAGTGATAGAACAGAGCAGGCACGCCCCCGAGAGAAGGAAAGCAAGTCACGTCACAAATGAGCATTTCTAAAATGTTAGCGTGGATTAATAAAAGTGCAAAAAGACAACGGTTGTCGCCGGAAGAAACTTCAAATACAGAGAATGCTGTGCCTGTGTTGGAAATTGTGTCTGATGGGGAGCTTTCTTTGGTTGATCCTCCTGCTCCAAGTTCTAGTGCATTAGCATTAGCACTAGCTCCGCCGCCTCCTCCAGAGCCTCTAACGTTAGCTGCTGCTGGCGCAACTGCCACCACCAACACCGGGCAAAGCGATGCACCTGACTGCTGGACAACGGACCAGGTGCAATATTTTTGCAAGACCAATGCATGGCTCCTTCTTAAAGATAAGAAGCTAGGATGTCGGATATGCAGAGATGTCAAATCTTTGGGAATACACACTGGACAAGGACTGAAACTGTCAACTGAATGGGGTGAGTGTGCAGTGTCTCATTTCGGTGTTGACAAGGGCAAACAACAAGCTAGCCTGAGAAAAAAATCAAAGAACATAAAGAATCACAAGCCCATGTAAAAGCTGCTGACATCCTTACATCTGCTTCACGTGAAACTATTCAACATCAAGTGCAGTCTATGCATAAATCTGAATTAGACACCACTATCAGAGTTTTTCGAACGGCATATAAAATTGGCAAACATAGCCGGCCATTCACAGACATGCCAATTGATTTGAATGTACAGAAACTGAATGGGCTGAACGTGGGCAGGGTTTTGCACTCCAATAAAACCTGTGGCGAAATCATCGACCACATAGCTCATGAGCTGAAGAAAAAAATGGCAAAAGACATTACAGAAAACCAAGAAAACTGTGTTTTGGTCGATGAATCTACCACTATTAGTGGTAAAACGGTGCTTGTTGTGTGTCTACGCTCAGCATTAGCTGATGCTGAGCCCGAAACGTTTTTTTGGGAGCTGATCGAGTTGGATGGAACAACGGCTGATGACATCACAAAGGCGTTAATGGAGTGTCTTGGAAGAGATTTTAACGAGCACTTTTTAGGTCAGTGTTTCGTTTCTTTTGCATGTGATGGGGCTTCAGTCATGCTAGGGAAGAGAACAGGCGTTGCTACCCAGTTGTGTAGTAAATTCCCAAGCCTGTTTGTGTGGCACTGCTCCAATCATCGTCTAGAGCGGGCAGTTGGGGATGTGGTCAAGGAGGTCTCAGGGCTCAATCATTTCCAGATCTTTTTTGACAAACTCTATTCCTTGTTCCATGCCTCCCCCAAAAATCAGAGGCAGTTAGCGCAGCGTGCGCAAGCAGTCGGACAGCGTCTCCTGGTGATAGGGCGTGTTTTGTCCATCCGCTGGGTGGCTTCAAGTGAAAGGAGCGTCAGAGCAGTCTGGGAAAACTACCGAGTGCTTCATGATCACTTCACAAATGCTGCAAACGACACGAGCAGGGAATCCAGAGACAGAGCAAAGTACAAGGGCCTGGATGATGTGCTCACATCTGCAACGTTTGTCAGCAATCTGGGACTGATGTACGATGCGCTCACAGAGCTCAGCGACCTCTCTCTGCAACTCCAAAAAAGAGAGATGACACTGCCTACAGCAGATAGGCTCTTAACTCGAGAAATACGAGTTTTTGAATCCATGGTCACCATGCCTGGCCCACACATGACTACAGTTCATACAGTTCTAGCTGAGAAGTCCTTCAAGGGTGTTGCCCTGCGTGAGAATGGCAGGCTTGTACAGATTCATGCAGGTCAGTTTTTCCGCAGTATGGTAGAGAATCTGAGACACAGAATGACTTCCACAACCTCCTCTCATGTCAGCACAAGAGAAATCCCATTACATGGCCGGGAGGCCCGGGACAATCAGCTAATCCAGGACATGAAAGTTATCCATCCTGGAAGTTGGCCTGAAGAGGAGTTAGACGTACAGTATGGGGACGTAGAGGTGCTACGTTTGTGCGAAGTGCTGAAAGTGGACAGAAGAGAGACTGTTCAGGGCTTTCGCGAATACAAGGAAACCAGGGCATCCCGTACACCTGCTGCCATGGAGCCTCTACTGAAAGCAGTCCGAACCATCGCTGTCTCCACTAGTGAGTGTGAGCGGGCATTCAGCTGCATGAACGATATCCTTACTGCAAAAAGGAATGCTCTCTCTGTCAGCCGACTGTCCAACCTGGTTTTCATT